ATAGCAGTGCACTATGGTAGGCGAGGGTGCCTAGACACCCCTCTACCTACAGGATCAAAGCTTAGGGTGACCAGATGTCCTCTGGTTTTCAGGGACAGTCACTGATTTTAGGGGGCTGTAGATGGTAAAAAATGTCCCCAATTTTGTCCACAGTTTATGGTTTCTTTCCAGGTTTAATAATGGCATCCCCATCCCTGGTGGCTGCAGTGTTAATCCATCTTGGCAACATTTATGTAACTAGCCTGGAGCAGGAGGAGGGAGGGGAAGGGTGTCTTCTGTCGGCTGTATCTGGGGTTATTGATGATATCACATGCCTATATTATGTGCTCTTCCAAGTCCCTCCTCTCTCGTCTTCTGCAGATTTCGTTGTAGTAGGTAAGGATATGAATCATTTGCTACCTTGCCCTTACTTGTGATGGTGATCTGCAGTGCACACCTTGACTCAGAGCAAAGTAGGCTCAGGTGTTATTAAACCATGCCCCTTTAGGCCTCTCCCATTGTTAGCACAATTTGGCCTTGCATGCCACTATTATACCCAACCCTTGCTCCGTCCCCCTCCCACCTCAAATAAAAGTGGACATGGTCACCTTTTCAAAGCTAAATATCTGCAGTGTGAGATCTAAGGCACTGCTAGTCTCAGGAGATTTGGAATACGATTTGGTGATGTCACTACTGTGCTGAGCACTGTTCTCCTTGCTGGAGGTTCTGACATGAGAAAACAAAGCCCTGTCTCTACCAAGATGGCTGCCTCTACACAGAAACAGTGCAGAACAAGGCATAATAAATCAGTAATGGAGACAGATCAGTTGGACGATGACCACAGGCAATATCAGTGACTAGTCATTTGCCATTTCTGTCTATGTTTGCACAGCTTCCAAAGTTCAGTTCCTCTTTTAGGCTCCTAGTGTAGTGTTTACTGCCCCCTCCCAAAAACGTGATCTGCAGTGGATTTTTTCCTCTCCCTGTACCCGCTGTCAGATTTTGAAAATGGCACAGCTGTCACAGGAATCTGAAAGAAACAACTACAAGTCTTGTCCACCACCGCGGCAGATAGACTTGTAGTTTGGATGAACTGCGAGCTCATTCACACTGCCTACAGCTCTGAAAAAGACAGGCCATACAGAGGTACAGACACAGAGCTGTGGCCAGTGTGTGCAGGAGCCTGACATTGCACCCCTAGTCTACTGATCATGGGTGCAATACTTTCCAGGCTCCTATGTTTAAAAAAAATATAAATGCACATTATTGTACCTGCAAAAATATATGTATTTATTATTTTTAATGAAAGGTAAAAAAAAAAAATAGACTTTAGAAGCACAAGTAGTGTCAGAGCCACAAATTCAGAGACCAGAAAAGTTAGAGAATAGTCAGAAATCCGCCTACTTGTTCCGGGTCAGTGCCTCAAAATATTGAAGAAGGAGGATAATCATGACAAGTATACAGTATTTTCAGAAGAGGACAACATGAATTTGGGGGTTATTTACTAAAACTGCATAGTGCAAAATCTGGTGCAGCTCTGCAAACCAATCAGCATCCATCCAGGTTTTATTGTCAAAGCTTAATTGAACAAACTGAAGTTAGATGCCGATTGGATACCATGTACCTGCACCAGATTTTGAGTGTTCCAGTTTTAGTAGATCTCCCCCATTGTGTTTCTCCCATTACAAGTGTAATGTTTGAATCTCCCAGACTAAAAACAATTCTGTGTTGCATGCTGACATCTAGTGGAAACCAGCAGGTACACCACCTGTAAACAAATAGGGATAGTATGATCATGTTATTTTTAAGACATTTGCTTGTATGATACCGACTATTATAGCAAGAACAAGGAGACAATAGCAAGATCACAAATGTAATCAATATTTTGGCAGGTGTTTATGCAAATTACTAATCCTTCCCAGATTACAGCTCCAGACTCCTCTGAGCCTCTGTTTGTCAACAGCAAACCCTTTTCAAGTATCCAATTGTGTTTGTATATCCATTTCTATAATATACCTGTAATGTGTGTACATCCATTGTCATCACCAATACTATGGTTTTCAACACAAATCACTCATGTTTGAAAATTAATAAATTATTGCATTAATATGTTCACATAAAAGTTATTATTTGTAAAACCTCTTAGACTGTTGAATTAACGTGGTATTAAACCTAAAAGCAAACATTTATTATGTTGTAGCTTAATAATTCTTAGATGTGATGGCTGCATTCATTTTCTTTTTTTAGGATTTATTTCTTCTATTTTCATTTGGTGATCTAGACAGCAAATCTGTTGTTTTTGCAAAAGAACAAGCTCTCCAGCAGACAGTATCAGTTACAGAGATGAGACAAACCATTTAACACTAAGGGTGCTTACAATGGTCAGCTTTCATATATTTTTGTAAAACCTTGATCCCAAAAGTCAAAAAAACCTCTTTGCTGTAACTAATTATAAAATGTGAACTGGATTTCAGCTTTAATTTGTTAGTGCATATAAATTTGTTAGTACATCTATCACTCTGCTACCCCCAGATTAACAATGCTGCTGTCTGCTGTGCCCCCTGTGCTCCTTCATCCAAAGTGGAAACACTAATACAGGAGGTGTGTTACTGACCTGATCCCCAGGTGAAAACCAAGGGGAAAAAAGCCTGAGAAAAGAAAACTAATGCAGCAGTCAACTGTCATTGTTCTTGTAATTCAGCTCCAGATCAGCGAGGGAGAGGCTGTAAACACACTGATTTCATTTTTAGGCCCTATTCACATCTAGTGTAGTGGGAGGTTTTGCCCATAGCGGTACCCCCATAGGAGCCTGCAGTTACAAAAGTCCCGTAGGTCTTCTTGTGGAATTACCCCACATCCAGGCATACAGTCACTTCTTTGGCTCAAAGAATAGTCTGGGGGAATACTTTTCTGAAGCTTTATTGTAGAACATGAACTTGGTTAGGAGTAGGATAACTGTGGGATACTCAAGTAACCTTTAATAGTAATTCGAGGACTCTAAACTTTCTTCTTTAGAGCTCTAAGCCAAGTCCTTGCACAAGTAAATGATGGACTGAGCTTTTTAGCAAATTGAGAATATTAATCTTCCTCTTCCTCTTAGAGATCTGAAGAAAGTGCTTTCATTAGAAATTAAATAGACTGAGCTCTTCAGGACACCAGACACAATGTCCCCTTGGAATACAGCTGACTCTATAGCACCAGAAGGGTGGCAACAGCACACAGTCTCTAGGATCTCTCACACCAGCGTGTACTCACTAATGTCCTTGGATGATTGGTTGCCTCCTTCTAATATCTTCCCGACATTTTCTCCTAGTGATACCAGACTAGATAGTCAGACAAAAGGCCCTTCAGTCAGCTTCAGCAACTTTCAGCAAAGTTGGCCTTCCCACCTTGCCCAGCTGGGATCTCAACAAACAGCAGACACGTGACATGCTTGCTAGGCTGTGATCTTCTCAGGGACAAGACACCTCTGTCCAAGGTCTCAGACTAATTATACACCTTCCCAGCAACCATCTGTGCAGTCTCCCACAGGGATTGGCTGAAAAAGTATAAATATTGCCAATTTTCCTTGTGGGCATATCAAAATTTGGCATGCAACTGTGCCTGTGCAGCCACTGCATCTGCATACAGGTCCAACACAGAAGATGGGTCTCAATGCCCCGTAGAATGAGCTCTAATTCTGCTAATCAATGCATATGAGCTATAATTTTCTATAGCAGAAAGCATAGGCTGACCTGCTTCAGAACATAGACAGCTTTTTCTTTTTTGCAACAGAGGTACATTAATGGTATATTGGTACATAGGGAAGCTGTACTTTCGAATAAAAGACATGAGATCTGCCTTTAACTGAAAAATGTAACTTTGTTTCTTTCAGCCTTTTCCAAATCCCCTTTTTTCTGGTTACTGTGATCTGCCTTCCTATTAGAAAGCTACAATCGTTCCCCATGGTCCCACTGAATGTAGAATTGTAGCCACCTTCTTTTGCTAACTCCAAAGATGGACTATGGGACTTCTAGTGAGCATAAAGCAGTGCACATGACCACAACTAACATGCACAGCTCTTTCCAAACAAGTGAGAGTGAAAAGGATAAATTCAGGAGCTCACAGAGGATGTTACAAGGAGGCAGAAAAAGATAGTAAGAAACAATTTAATGAAAAATAGATTACAGGGCTACTAAGTAGTGGATGAGTATGGATTATTCTTGGAGAATAAGGATATCGTTTAGTGTCACTTTAAGGGTGTATGTTTGAAAAGCCTAGTGACCATACATCATATTATAGCTAAGCATACAGAATTTGATGAAACATGATTGCATATTCTTTTGCTGGATTGATTTGAACTGGAACACTTGAGAGACAGCACATTTTGTTCAGACGGGCAGTGTACATGTATCAGCAGTATTACTAACAGTATTAATAGAAGATGAAAGAGGTCTAATATATTCTGCTCTGCCAGGCTTCTTGCTAATCTTCCTCCTGACTTCCACCCGCTGATAAAAGCATTTCCCAGTAACAGGGCTTATCAGAGGAAATGGGCCAAAGCAGCAGGACTTGTTTTAATGCAAATCTATAAATGAAAAATATTTGCAACTAGGTCATAAGTTGTCTTCTATGGAGCTGCCTTGACCATCTACCGCTAGGTGGCTCACAATTACAATTGTTATCTTTCTTCATTTGCATGCCATGGAAAGTTTACTCGCTATCATTTCTTCAGAGCAGAGCTGCAAAGGAGACACTCGGCTGCTATTTATGACAACAGCCACATGGCATGACAATCTAAACAGGAACTCCGGTAGAAAAGAAAAACCTGTTTTCAAAACATGCGTAGCATTCAGTATGACTTTTTACCCTGAAGGGATAGGCTCTCTTTCTGAAGCTGCATTAATTTTGTTGAAAGTCTCAAGTTTGCCTCCTGACATACACTATATTGCCAAAAGTATTGGGACACCCCTCCAAATCATTGGATTCAGGTGTTCCAATCATCTCCATGGCCACAGGTGTATAAAATCAAGAACCCAGGCATGCAGACTAGTTCTACAAACATTTGTGAAAGGATGGGTCACTCTCAGGAGCTCAGTGAATTCAAGCATGGTACCTTGATAGGTTGCCACCTGTGCAGTAAGTCCATCTGTCAAATTTCCTTGCTGCTAAAAATTCCACAGTCAACTGTTGGTGGCATTATAACAAAGTGGAAGTAACTGGGAACAACAGCAAATCAGCCACGAAGTGGTAGGCCACATAAAATGACAGAGAGGAGTCAGTGCATGCTGAAGCGCAGAGTGATCAGAAGTCACCAACTGTCTGCAGACTCAATAGCTAAAGACCTCCAAACTTCGTGTGGCCTTCAGATTAGCACAACAACAATGTGTAGAGAGTTTTATGGAATGGGTTTCCATGGCCGAGCAGCTGCATCCAAGCCTTACATCACCAAGTGCAATGCAAAGGGTTGGATGTAGTGGTGTAAAGCACGCCACCACTGTACTCTAGAGCAGTGGAGATGTGTTCTTTGGAGTGATGAATCATGCTTCTCTGTCTGGAAATCCGATTGATGTGTCTAGGTTTGGCGACTGCCAGGAGAACTTGTACTTGCCTGACTGCATTGTGCCATGTGTAAACTCTGGTGGAAGGGAGATTATTATGTGTGAGGTTGTTTTTCATGGGTTGGGCTTGGCCCCTTAGTTCCAGTGAAGGAAACTCTTAAGGCGTCAGCATACAAATACATTTTGGACAATTTCATGCTCCCAATTTTGTAGGAACAATTTGGGGATGGCCCCTTCCTGTGCCAGTATGACTGCGCACCAGTACACAAAGCAAGGTCCATAAAGACATGGATGAGCAGGTTTGGGATGGAGGAACTTGACTGGTCTGCACAGAGTCCTGACCTCAACCTGATAGAACACCTTTGGGATGAGTTAGAGTGGAGACTGAGAGTCAGACCTTCTTGTCTGCCATCAGTGCCTGACCTCACAAATGCACTTCTGGAAGAATGGTCAAACATTCCTATAGACACACTCCTAAACATTGTGGACAGCCTTCCCAGAAGAGTTAAAGCTGTCCTAGCTGCAAAGGGTGGGCCACCTTAATATTGAACCCTACGGGCTAAGACTGGGATGCCATTAAAATTCATGTGCGTGTAAAGGCAGGCATCCCAATATTTTTGGCAATATAGTGTATGTCTGATCTGTATATGGGCTTCAGGGCTGAAACACACCCTTGCAATGCATTGCGTTGGAATCTGTGAATTACTGAAATGTAGTGAACGCACATTACATGCTTTAGCAAGGTCTGTTGCCTCATAGTTTGAATGACACCCAACATATTGGGGCAATGCAACTCTGATGCATATGCTTTGCAGTGCACCACAAGGAACACTAACACACCACTATGCATTGTGGAATGCTACGTCAGAAAAGTATGTTCTTTTTTTGGCTTGTTTCTGAGTGTTGGAAGCACTTTCAAAATTAATTGGTTGAATAAACACAACAACGTCAACAGGTCACATGGCACATCTTGACTCCAAATGGAGAAGTGTGAATGGGCCCTTAAGGTTGCATAAATAGAGCCCCTTCTCTGCTGCATATGGTACAGATGGTATGTTTAGTCTTCAATATAAAGTAGAAAAAAAGTCCCACATCCAGTGCAGTCCTTTAAACACTTGTCTAGAAGCACCATTTATAAATGACAACTGGTAGATAGGGATTATAAACACAGTGGGAGTTATTTACTAAAACTGGAGAGTGCAAAATCTGGTGCAGCTCTGCAAAGAAACCAATCAGCTTCTAAGTTCAGCTTGCTCAATTACGCTTTGGCAATAAAACCTAGAACCTAGTAAATCACCTCACTGTGTTTAAAGGGTTAGTTCTTCTTTACCAAAAAACTGAAAAACTGCCTATGCAGATAAGGGGTGTCTGTAGATAAAAATAAACTGTGCAGCTCTGACTAAAGTTGAATAATGCTGTCAGCATGAAGAGAGGACTGCCGATAACCAGCATTTCCCATTTACATGCGATCAGCTGTGATTGGACACAGCTGATCACATGATAGAGCCTACGTCATCAGCTCTTTACTGCGATCGGTGATCTGCTGTGTCCCAGGGACACAGCACACCACTGATCACTGTGTGCCCCCAGGAGCGCGCATGCGCAGCTAGAGTGGGAGGACGTCATATAACGTCCTCCCAGAATGAGAGAACCGCCGCCCTCCTGTCATTTCCTTATATGGTGGGCAGGAGGCGGTTAAATAGAAGCAAAGCGAAGCATGCTAAAAGATTTCAAAAAGTGACACATCATGCCGTGATTTAAAGAGATTCAAGAACAGATGAGAAACAAAGTAATAGATACGTATCAGTCTAGAAAGGGGTTTAAAAACACATTTTTAAGGCTTTGGTACTCCAGCAAACCACGGTAAGAGCCATTATTCACAAATAGATAAAACTTGGAACAGTGGGGAGTCTTCATAGGAGTGGCCAGCCTACCAAAATTCCTCCAAGAGGACAATAACAACTCATCCAAATGCAACAATTTTACAGATGTAATGTTTATTTAATTCAGTAGTCACTAGCAAAACTAAAGCAACAAGTGGCCAAACTGGTAAAAGTGGTAGTTGTCACAGGGCAACTTTTCTTTAGGTTACAAGGCTGTCGGCACAATAGGGAAAAGGCCTCCTTAGCAGAGTGAATTGATAATGATGTGACCAGGGGCGGACTGACAACTCATGGGGCCCCTGGGCAATAGGGGATCGTGGGGCCCCTGTGTCCTTGCCCAAACTCAAAAAAGCCTATGAAAAAGGTACCAGGGGCATCTCATGGGGCCCCCTACTGACCCCGGGCCCTCGGGCGGTGCCCGAGATTCCAAATGGTCAGTCCGCCCCTGGATGTGACACAGTGGTGGTTCAGCCTGTGGACCAACTATCCTGCTATCAGTTCTGATGATAAGACTGTGCTAAGTGTAGTCAAACAATGGTGGCTAAAGGAACTAGGCAGTAACTTCTATTAACTATGTGCAATGTCCGCAACTGTGTGCAGGAAAATAGCAAATGTAGAGCAGGTGCCAGTGTTCCCTGTCCTTGATAATGCTTGGGACTCTCTCACCCGAAGGATGGCATTTGGAGAACTCTGGCGGTCTCTCTCTTTTTGATAAGGCCTGCACACACTCTCACACGCAGCGTTCCATTTGGTCACCAACTAGCAGAATAACTTTCTCCACGATACGGGAAGGTCAGTGATCAGCGGACTCTCCTTGCCTTCCCTCTTTCTCCCTTTCCATGGCCTGGTCCAGTCCTTCCACAGTCAGTACACTCCTCTCTGCAGATCTCTCCCCTCTCACTTTCTGTCTCATCTCCCACTCTCTCAACCGCCCACATGCCAGTTCCTCTGGGGAATGTAGTTCTTTACTGCACTGTTCCTTAACAAAGTCCTGCGATTCAGCATATAAATTCTATGAGTCTGCTATACAAAGTGTGAATGCCACTGTCTTACAGGACACTGCCAGCTTGTGTTTGTTTTAACATTCTGCCTCTTGTTAGTAGGGTGTTACAGACTGTATACTGTTGATCATGCTTGTAGAAACCATCAGAAGACAACAGAATAATCATGTCAGGGTCCTTTGTATCTATCATAACATTTAGATTAGCAAAGCACACTTCTGATAAGCAATTATTCATACCCTTCCTTCATAAACACAAGTAGACATCAGGATCTGTCACAGTCTGCTGATATGAAATAATTTAGAAGTCAAATATTAAAGTAATAGCTCTATAATGAGGAAATGGTTCACAGGTCATTATGGACAAGTCAGAAAAATCGGCATGTCATAAAAAAATCAATTCTAAACATTGCAGATTCATATAGTCTGCTCAGAACTGTTGATATTCAGTAGCTGGCACCTGTGTAATCACTAATGCCCTGGTACTTAGCCTGCGGACTATGGGCTACATGGCACTTTTGTTGTTTGAAGCACAATTCTTGAGTCCCAGCAGTCAGTAGTGGGAGGAATTTGCAAAACAGTAATGTTTAGCAGTTTTCTTTAACATGTCCCAAGTCACTGATTGTCCCTACAGCATGATTTCACTCTCTAACCAATCCTATAGAGGAGTCTTTGACCATTTCCTCTAAAAAAGTCTTCTGTAGTTATTATATGCAGAAGAGACATTAGGAGCCACACTTGAGACCCCTATATTTTGTAAGGTGAAAGCTACTGCACTAATCTATCTCTTTCTCCCCAATCAAACAAAGCAGATCTAAGGTAAGGCTACATTGACACTGGCCATTAAAGCAGTTACAGAGGAAAAAATCTGATTCCTGCTGTGGCTCTGAGCAGGTAGATGCTGCCGCCGGCCCCGTTCACGATAATGACATGTAACAATCACCCCTGAAGGAGCTGCTGGTGATGGGTTCTCTGCTCTGCCACAACTCTTTAAACTGCTCGGTCATGTACTAAAGACCGTTTGCACATATGTATTTAATGGTTGGCAGGCTACCACTCTATGAATGCACATGAATATGGCCACAAACAGCTTGGCAGTAAATTATTTGAGTGTATTAAGGTAGTTTAATTCAATACAGTGCAAATCAACAAACAGGTAAATGCATAGACAAAATAGCATTAGATAATAGACAAACAGGCACAGCGAATCACTAACTTGCAGTTAAAGAAACTGTAGCACTGTTAACTTGAATTTTTACCAGGTTATTAGAGTCTCTAAGCAACATCAACCAGTTTAGAGGAATCAAAAAGAGTCCTGGTGTACATCGTGCGCATACCACCCCAGCAGTGAGCAGGTGTATGCGTTCCTAGAGTGGGGGTACCCCTGGAGGTGATGAAAGTACCTGTCATCTAGTAATTGATACTGCAAAGTGAAACAAAAAACAAGAAGCGCACCAACCTTGCGCATTACCTCAGTAACAGAATTTATTAATAGAAGATAGGTACTCACAAACAGCGAATAAAATCAGGCATGTAGTCCTCAAAGGGACTTCAAAGATAAGAAGCCAGCACAAATCCCATCATGGAGGTAGACACTCAGTATAACTGACGCGTTTCGAAGGCTATGCCTTCTTCCTCAGAGCGCAGGAGAAATCGCAGCTGATCTAGTAATTGATGTTGGCAGGCTAATTTTGGGGCCCTTCCTTAGGTGGTGTATTGTCTCTTTAGGATTGTTAATCAATTAATAAAGACTAAGCTGCTAAGTGAGAGCAGTCACTGTTTTGGCTAATGGTATGTGACAGGTGGTTAGGGCGTGTAGCTCAGCTAATCACTTCCTGGCAGGTGACTACTCTGGTCCCAACTATCATTTCCCAGATCCCCTTACAGGCTGCAGTCTCTCAGCTTGAACCCTTAAGATACAGCAATCCTCTCTTTTAACCCAATCTCTGAAGGCAGCTCCAGCAGGTCCGTCCCCTCTACCTGATGTGGGGGAACAGGCACAGGGACAGGTCTCTTTAGCTCCTCTTTAAAGGCTCTAGACCAGGGGTGTCAAACTGGCGGCCCTCCAACTGTTGCAAAACTACAAGTCCCATCATGCCTCTGCCTTTGGGAGTCATGCTTGTAACTGTCAATCTTACAATGCCTCATGGGACTTGTAGTTTGGCAACAGCTGGAGGGCCACCAGTTTGACACCTGTGCTCTAGACTATCAACTGTGGGACACAGACCTTGGCTGCAAATCTGTCTCTGTTGCTCTCTTCCCAGGACTGCCCTGATTGCTCCCTCTTTGCCTGGGAAAACAGTGAAACTCTCTTCCTCCAACAGCAAGGATTTGTGGGAAATGAAGTCCAGTAGTCACAAGTCTCCATTGACAAATATGGTGCAGCTCTCCTTTAGGAACAACTATTCCCAGTGTCCTTGGTGCCTGCATAGTAAGTGCTCTCTCATTCTCCCATTGGCTGTCTCTCTCCTACCCTTTAATTGGATCCGATCCACTCTTCAAGAAGTGAGGGGGAGAGAAAAGTGAGCTGGAAATCAGAGCCCCCTCCCACAAATACTGATGCTCCTCTCTGTCAGCATCACTTCCAGACAGGGAGAGCTAGCACACACTCGCAATGTTCAAAGTGGGATGCAGGCAGATGAGGAAAAATGTATTAAATATACCTACCTTACCCCTGGCATCCATTCCAAAGGTGCCTTGGTGAGGGTGATGTCATCCTCCTTCCAGTGTGATCCCAAGGAATGCTGAGTATCCCAAATCTAATGAGAAGATGCTTCTACTCTGTACTTTCCTACACAGTCGATATAGGATACTCAACATTAGGTCTCTTGTAAACATATATAAGATTTCACTGATGCTCAGAATCTTGTTGACACAAAGATCCTGAGTAAAACGTTCAAGACCTTGTGTAAATGCATGTAAAGCCACATAAATGCACACATACATAAAATTCTTCTGCATCCACTTCTAGTTGCAAATGTTGCAATATATTTGTGTATATGTACATGTACATGTGTATAAATGCATATACATGCATTTGCGTATAAATTACTGTACTCAGATGTAAAATGTACTATTTTTATTTTACCTCTCTGTACTCATTGCTTTATTACTGATCATTATGCAGCTGTGTGCATCATTCCATGGGCAACAATGTACCTGTGTTCAGAGCAGTAAAAAAAAAGTGGCATTTTTAATTCTGTATGCAAGGGGCCTTACCTGAGATCTCACCTTGGAAGGATGGTAACTTCAAGGTAAGTTTGTGTATTTACTCTTTTTCTCTTCAGCTTTTTTTTTTTTTTTTTAATTTAGAGCTTACATTGCTGTTATCCATGAAAATATTCCTCTTTGGTAGTTTAAAAACAGTGTTTCCAAAACCAGAATGTCGGAATTTTTTTGATTGTGCGGGTGGGCCGCCAGCACCATAACAACCAATGATGCTCTATGGCCAGGATGCATGGCATAATTTTGTTGCTATGGTAATGGTGGCTGGCTTGCCCACACCATGGCAATGCATAATAATCCAAGGCAAGCGGAATGCAGGAGTACCCCCCAGCGGTCAAGAGAAGACAGGAATCTGCCTCCTCCAGACCTACTCCACCTCCCGCCTTCTGCCGCACTGTTGGAGCCAGCCAAAAGGTGGAGCTCTGATGTGAAGAGGATACTGTGTAATTGGGGGGCTGTGTAATGGGGGCTGTGTGACTGGGGGCTCTGTGATGGTGGACTGTGTGATTTGGGGGGGGCTCTGTGATGGGGAGTCTGTGTGCCTAGGAGGTTCTGTGATGGGGGAGCCCATAGAACCTGAGGGCTGTGTAATTGAGGGGCTCTGTGATGGGAGGATCTGTGTAATGGGGGTATGGTGTAACTGGGGTCTGTGATGGGGCAACTGTGTGATTATTAGGATCTGTGAAGAGAGAGCCTCTGACATAATGGGGGCCTATGATGTGATGGGGGGCCTCTGAGATATAGGGAGGAACCCCCCGATGGGTATTAATTTAATCTAGACAGTTGTATGCGTTGTCCCAAGCTCAGGTTATCCATTTCTAGGTAACATTTACATTTTAGACTGGGGTGCCTCAAGATTTTGCATACTATAAAAAGGGCAACTGAAAAAAGGTTGAGAAATGCTGGTTTAAAAATGTACTACTCTATGTAGCTTGTTGCCCGACTGAATTTGCAGTTTAAGGGTCAGAGCCAACGGGCTTTGTTGCTTCAAACCGGCTTTATATTCTTCTACAAGTCTATTGGAGAGGTCAACTTCACCAGTCAATGAATTCTAAATGATCTAGGAAGCATTTCAAACTGATGATATTGACACAAGACTAAAGTCCATTGACACAGTCCTTAAACCAGCTAAATCCATTTCTTACAAAAGAAATGCTGTGAAGAATTACTGTATATAGTTCATTTCCTTTAGAAAGCAACAACAACTCTCCCTGCCAGAAAAAAGGCCTTTCCCTGAAATGGACTCTTGCTCTGTGAAATCATTGTTATCTCTTCAGAAGTCCGAAACCTGCTGAATCAGAGCCATTATGAGGAGGCATGAGCTTTACAGAGACATCAGTCTGCCCCAGCAAGGGGCTTGTCAGACTTCTGCTGAGAGACTACTGCTTCCACACATATAGCACGATGTTGAACATCAAATGTTCAAATGGACTTTAAATTTAGCAAAGTAGATTGTCCTGATGCCATGATCTCAGCGCTGTATGATTCTGGTGTGGGAACTGCATGTTTTAAGCAGGGGCGGACTGACCATTTGGAAACTCAGGCACTGCCCGAGAGCCCGAGGTCAGTAGGTGGTCCCATGAGATGCCCCTGGTACCTTTTTCATAGGCTTTTTTGAGTTTGGGCAAGGACACAGGGGCCCCATGATCCCCTATTGCCTGGGGGCCCCATGAGTTGTCAGTCTGCCCCTGGTTATAAGTATAGTGTTACTTTTGCAATGTTTCCCTTAAAGTGACTATTCATTTTTGTTATTGTAATAAATATAGAGCTTTTTAAATGCGCCACTTGAGGAAACTCTGTATTTGACTCCATCTCATTTAACCTCCCTGCTTAACAATTGTTGAGGTAGGATATATTCCATGCACGTCGTGTATTGATTTCAATGATTCAGCTGACTCATAGACTGACATTGTGAACAGAAATAGTAAAGCACAAAGAAACAGTGTACCTAAAAGTAGAGCCCAATAATGTAATAAGCAAGCATAGCTGTACATAGGAACATTTTATTTTATTGAAAAGATTTTACATTAAAGTGATTGTAAGCCCTTTTTTTAATAACCAACATGTTATACTTACCTGTTCTGTGCAATGGGTTTGTACAGAGCAGCCCCAATCCTCCACTTCAGGGGTCCCATGCTGGTGCTTCTGGTACCTCCTCCCTACCGTGTGCCCACTATAGCAAATTGCTTGCTGTGGGGATACTCGTGCAAGCTCACTCCTGAGCCCCTCGCTGTGTGTCCAATAACACACAGAGTATGGCTCGGACCAACCCCACCCCCTCCAGGCTGTGAACCTATGAGAAGAGAGAATGCAGAGAGAGACACTGCTCTCAGGCACAGCGCTGGATTGAGACTGGATTTAGGTAAGTATAGAGGGGGGCTGGGGGGAGGAGCTGCACTCAGAAGGTCTTTTATCTTAAAGTGTTAATAAACCCACAACAGTAAAATCAGTCTGTATATGCAGTAAAGCATGCTTGTTATACTCACTGTATATCACTTCCAAATTTCTTCTCCCTCTCCCACTGTGACATCTCCCAGTTTCTTCTTTGGCTAACCTTCCTGCACTAAAGCCGGCCATAGACGGAGTGATTTTCTTTCCTGCAACCTGTGTTGAAGGGGGAATTCCTCCTGTGGAGCCATTGTGTTCTCCCAGCGGGAGAACACAATGGCTAGCCATAATTGCATGTACAATCCTGCAGGCTGGTTGTACCCAAGTTAATCAATTGATCAAATTGGATACATTCAATACATGGTTCGAATCTTGGCTGGTCACTGCTGAACTGGCCAAGATTTGAACAGTCACTGGCCAGCTTTACATATCTCCCCTTTTGAAACCTTTAATTGAACATTACAATGCAATCCATTCACTGGAGACCACCAACACTAATGAGAATGCAGCCTATCTATTCAGTAGAGACCAATGACACCACTGAAAATAGAGCCTAACTATTCAGTAGAGACCAATAACACAACTGGGAATACAACCTATCCATGGACTTCGAGACCAGCAGCAACACAAAAAATGAAGTTTGTCCATTCATTATAGACAAGTGACACCAATGAGAATAACGTCCATCCAATAAGAATATAATTATCCATTAACTGGAGACCATAAACACCAATGAGAGTGAAGTCTGTAAATTCACCAGATACCAGCTATATTATCAACAAGTTAACTTGCTCGGTCACTACAGACTACCATCCAGCTTATCTATTCTGTATATTATTTTTGTTGTATTATGTTCAGTTTATTATTTGGAATTTTTTAAATTGTTGATTGAATAGTAAAACTGTGTACTATAATGTACACATAATTTTAACATCAACCCAAGGAAATAAAATGAGTATCCTCCCTGCCGTAAAATATGGGCCAACAAACAGCTAACACTTTAGTACCAGCATCTTACTTAAGGGTCCCTATAGTCTAGGACAGCAACCGAATATACTGACACAGTCCAACTGCCCTCAGCAACCACTGTTCACCAGCAGTAAACATATATGCTTTGCTCTTACACATTTATGTACATATGTTTTGATTAGTCACTTGCTTATGGGTATTACTGCATTTTTTACCTTCAAATGTGGACGTTGTATATTTAATTACCTCCTGCTATAAATTTTCATTTGCAGTCTGCTGTTTATGTCTCAAGGGAGAAAGCCACTCCAGACAACTGATGAGATAAAATCTAAGCCACAAATTGGAGCCTTATAAGCAGAACTTGGGCTCTGGTACCAGTTGATCTAGGCAGTATTCCAGACATGCTGAAGTGATGAAGCCAGAAACAACTCAGTGATTAACATCGTCCATTGTGGTGTTGTACTTATCTTGATGGACATTAAATTAGTGTATTCATCACAGGGCATGCCCTTGGAGCTAGGACTATGAACACTACTGGTGGGAATAAAGGTACATTTAATAAGATTTTGAAGGCATACTCTTGGAGAATCACTAAAGTAACAAATCCTTTTATGGTAAACAAAGGCTATCCTTCTGTCATTATCGGTTTCTATGCAGACATAAGACTTACATGAGGTGAAGCATGGTTACTTTTGTTCTTCAGTTTCAGGAGAGGAACGGTTAACATGGATATATATCTAGAGCGGGCCATAGATCATCGAATCTTGGCTGGTTCAGCAGGGACTGGCTGAGCTTCGATCCATGTATGGGTAGACAGGTTGTACCCAAGTCAATCCATCGATTGATTTGGGTACAGCCAGCCTGTCCAATTTTGTACATGTGATTATAGCTGGCAGCTATATCCGCTAGCAGTAATCATTGTGTTCTGCTGGATGGGAAGGCTCCCCATCGTCAGAACACAGTAGCGCTGTGGGAAGGATTCCCCCACCAACACTCGCTGTGTTGATGGGGAAATCGAGCAATAGTTTTTTCCTTCCATGGTGGAAGGAAAAAAAATTGCATAATCTATGGCCTGCTTTAGGCTACGTTCACACTAGTCCATAAGCTGTGGGCTGGTTGCAGGTGTGGGAATTGATGCAATTTTCATGGGTGCAGGAACTGCACCGAAACCGCATGGTCAAAAAAATGCTGGGCCTGAGGCTTGGTTCACACCTATGTAGTTTGCTTTTGATCCATTTCTGCAGTGCTTTTAGCGGTGCATTTTGCAATTTTTTCAATTTTTTTATGCATTTTGCATTTTTTTGGCCAATTTGTTGCTGGGCAGAGTAAAAAAATGCAAAACATGACAAAAGTGCACTACATGCTTTTCTGCAGTGTCTCCATTGAAGTCTAATGAACCAAAAAGCACCATTTTGCATTTTTTAAAAAAGTCCATGACCCTTTCACAAAACGCGACAACTGAAAAAAGCATCGATGTGAACATGTTCTGTAGGGAACCATGTTAAATGGCCTGTAGTGGCACCAAACAATTGCATAGGTGTGAACCAGGCCTTAGACTCCAGCGAACAATCACTTTTTTTCTTCCTTCTTTACATTGTTTCCTTTCTCGTGCCCCCTTGCATTTCTTCATTTTTTTCCTTCTTTCCCCCTCCTCTTATACTCCTTTCTTCCCCTCATTGCTTTCATCCTTCATTTTTTTCAGCCATACTTCCTTTCTTCTTTCCCTTTTTTCTTTCATTCCTTTCTTCTTTCCTTCCTTTCTTCTGTAGCGCTACCCTCGTGAGAGCCGCTTGTATGATTGCCCACATTTCCCCTTACTCTGCCCTGCAGCCAGGCACATTTCTTCAGCCAAATACACACACACACTTCTGCTTACAATCAGGCTTACCTGTAGGCAGGGGCGGACTGACCATTTGGGCATTCGGGCACTACCCGAGGGCCCGGGGTCAGTAAAGGGCCCTATGAGATCCCCCTGGTACCTTTCATAGGCTTTTCTGGGTGTGCTTTGAGTGTAGGCAAGGACACAGGGGCCCCATGATCAACTATTGCCCGGGGGCCCCATGAGTTGTCAGTCCGCCCCTGCCTGTAGGTACAATGAGTATATCCTAAACATGAACCCTTTAGGAGATATTCACATAAGCAGTGTCAGAGAATGTTACCTGCACATATGCAGTGACACTCTGCATTCAGAATACACACTGTATTCACACTTAGCCTGCTCTCCTCTAATGATAAGACTTTTCCTGAACCCCCCCCCCCCCCATCTCCTCCGCACAGTCATTAGCTTGGAAGATCAGTGTGCTGCTCCTTCTCCTCCCTGAGCTCCTTATGCTGATGAGAACAGAGGGAATGTGATCACTTATAAAAAAAAGGGGGGAAAAGGTATTTATAATTTTGTTTCTATGAATGAACATGTTTTACCTTTCATTTCTATTTTAAACAGAATGAGTTGTTTTTACTTTAACTTTCAACATCTCAGGTAATATAGTAATCGTGTTACTATAAAAAAAAAAGCAGAGTGTAAGCTGGTACAGTATGCTTTGAAACACTAGAGGGCAGTAGGCTAATACAATTCAACAGGTTTGAGGCCATATGTACAAAACAGAGGCATATAATGGTTTTTGACTTGAGCAGATACATAAAACACCAAAATTAAATGTAAAATTTAACTTGCAGGTTGATGCTGTATGCAACACTTTCCTTTGCTCCATTTTTTTTATAAATGAAACCTTCTATCTATATGTGTGACTGAAGATTGGATCTTTGACACGAACTGTACTAATGTGCCATATTCCCAACAGGAGGCTAGATTACTACGCTTTAAAGCATAATGAGCTTTACATGTTCCATCTAGAAGATATATTACCCATAGTAATCAAAGAGAATGCAGACAACAATTTTTTACTGCAGAACAAAGAATCATGTATTTTACTGATCTCATCATTTTCCTTCAGTCCGCTTACAACACTGACATTATTTTATAAAGCAAACAAGCTGCTTCATTGAAAGCCATACAGGAGATTGCTGCTTGTCACCACAACCACCGCCGCCCCTCCCACACACCCCTAGTCCTGGCGCTGCTCGCCGCCTCCACCACTGCACAGAGCGGTTTTCTTTCTGCCCCCCTTCCCTCCCACCCACCTCCACTGTGTTCCCGGACTTCCCACCGCTGTGTTCTCCTCACTGCCCAGCCCACATTTCAAGGGCTGCAGCCAAGGATGGATGACAACTCTCCTCTGGGGGGTAGGGGTAGGTTCAGACCCCCTGATTCCCCTTATCTACGCCCCTGACTTTTATCACGGGTTCCCTAAAAAAAGAACATTTCAAGGGTTCCTCTGTATTAAAAAGGTTTAGATATGCAGCCTAAATGAATGGCAAAGGCAGAATACATTTTCATAAACCAACACATTGTACATTTTTACTGTATTTCCTGGAGAACAATCCCCAGTAGCAGACAGAAGCAATGTCCTGGGTTTAAGAGAAACCCAATGAACCTAGATAAAATAAACAAAGCTCAGGCAGGCTACAGCCCAGCTGCAAATAATAAATTTAGACTAGGGACAATCTAGCTTAAAGCTGTATTAAACTCAAAACCAAAAATGTAATATATTTCAGCTTAAAGTGAAAAAGTATTCATGTACCTTGAAATTTTCCACATTTTGTCATCTTACAACCAAAAACGTAAATGTATTTAATTGGGATTTTATGTGATAGACCAACACAAAGTGGCACATAATTGTGAAGTGGAAGGAAAATGATAAATGGTTTTCAAAATGTTTTTAAAATAAATATCTGAAAAGTGTGGCGTGCATTTGTATTCAGCCCCCTTTACTCTGATACCCCTAACTAAAGTCTACCTGTGTGTAATTTAATCTCACTATAAATATGGCTGTTCTGTGAAGCCCTCAGAGGATTGTTAGAGAACATTAGTGAACGAACAGAATCATGGAGGTCAAGGTACGCACCCGAAAGGTCAGGGATAAAGTTGTGGAGAAGTTTAAAGCAGGGTTGGGTTATAAAAAATATCCTAAGCTTTGAACATCTTACAGAGCACTATTCAATCCATCATCCGAAAATGGAAAGAGTATAGCACAACTGCAAACCTACCAAGACATGGTCATCCACCTAAACTGACAGGCCAGGCAAGGACAGCATTAATCAGAGAAGCAGCCAGGAGGCCCATGGTAACTCTGGAGGAGCTGCAGAGATCCACAGCTCAGGTGGGAGAATCTGTCTACAGGGACAACTATTAGTCGTGAACAGGGGCAGGCTGACCATTTGGAAACTCGGGCACTGCCTGTAGGGCCCGGGGTACCAGCTTTTTTAGTTTGGACAAGGACACAGGGGCCCCATGGCCCCATTGAGATGTCAGTCCGCCCCTGACTCGTGCACCCCACAAATCTGGCCTTTATAGTAGAGTGGCAAGAAGAAAGCAACTGTTGAAAGAAAGCCATACGAAGTCCCATTTTCCATTTGTGAGAATCCACGTGGGGGACACAGAAAACAGCAAGAGAAAAATAAAAGATTAAAACAGCTCAAATGCCTGTAGGAACAGGTTTTCTGAGCTCCAGTGTGCATGAGGCCAAGCTTGTGTACAAAAAAGTTCTATGTGAACATTTTTTTCTGCCAAGGGAACTGGAGCTTTTTAAGTCCAGTGTGCATGGTCCCCTAGAATGCCTACAGCCTGCATGAAGGAGCAGCAGAAACATCTTTAGACAGAAGCATTGTCGGTCTGGAGGTAAGTTAGTGTTAGACCCCTTTCACACTGATGGTTCGATTGGGTCTATCTGTCAGTTTGTCAGGCAGACGCGATCAGACCATCCATATCTCTCTACGGAGCAGTGGGTGTCAGCGGACATGTGTCCGCTGACACCCGCCGGCATCCGATCTGATCCTGTAAGCTAAAAATAGACGGATGGGATCCATTCACTCTGGTGGATCGGATGACTGTCGGATGGAAACAGACTTGCAGTCTGTTTCCATCCAAGCACCCCCCCCTATAAAACAGCGGGCTGTGTCTGTGTCCACTCTGCATCTGTGTAGCGGATGCAGACTTGTCATATGCTTGCTCAGCGGGGATCAGCAGAGAGATCCCCGCTACGTAAGTGTATCCGCTGATGGGTCTCCCCCATCTGAAAGGGGCCTTAGATGTATTAGCAGATTTGGATACACTAGCAAATTGAAGCCAAACTCAAATAACACTTTTTAATCAGTCACAGCAACAGGTTTGCTCTTTTTGGGATAAATATTTTACATAAATAAAAGCTGATCATTGTAAGCACCACGGTCAGTGGTAAATGGTTTGTCTTAGGCCTCTAATTGCTACATCTGCAGGACAGGTTGTCCTGATGAAAAACAACAGATTTACTGGCTGGATCACCAGGTGAAAATAAAAGAAAGCCTAAAAAGAAAACGAATGCAGCCACCACATTAAATGTTTGCTTTTGGGTTTAATACTGCTTTAAGACAGAGTACCTACACACAAACCAAACTTTAGTAAACTTTAAAAGAGAGAAAGTAGACTCTATTTTCGTTGCACACATATTTTAGTTATCATTGTAGTAGTTTTTAAGTGTTTGAGTTTCAAATATTTACTTACTTGCTCTTTCATATTATTTGTTTCTTGATTAGCAGCTAAAGAATGCAAATGTTCAATTTACACTCACATTGCCTTCTTTCTGAAGAACTGTTGAGATATTTTCCATCAGGCACATGGGAAGGACATTGTTTTCAATGAATTGGCCAACTCATAGACTTACATTGTTTGGGGGAGCAGGAAAGCAGTACCACCGTGTAGCACTGCAAAGTAGGCAACAGAACCTGAGTAGGAAATAAGTGAGTATGGATGTCACATGTACATTCATACAGTCATACATATTTACAAATGTTACAAAGAAACAAGGTTTTAAAAAAGTTACTGCACTGAAATCTTTATTACACCTATCTGATCCGTTTTCAAAGTCTTTCTAATGAATAAAACTTATGTGCGTCCCCGTTGGTAAGCACGAGAAATTGAGTTGGAGTTGTACAGGAAAAAGAGAGACAGTAGCGAGTGACATGCTAACCATTTTTCAGCATAGAAGAAGTTACAATATACAGAATTTTTTAATTTATGAACTACTAAGAAGATCCAAAATGAAACGTGACATACATTCAAGAGTATAACAGAGGCTAAGATGGCAGTTTCCTTGGGTGTAAAGGACAGGAGAGTTTAGTTCCACTTAAAGAATTGTACATTAAATTGGTTTACAGTTAAGTTTTCCTGTGTCAAGTATTAAAGTTTTCATTTCCATCAGGCAACGTCAAAAGTGAAACTGAGCAGAAATTATAAGTGGCTTAAAGGTTGACATGATTTGTAAGATAGGAAAATAATGCAGATGGTGACAGGAGCCCAATCAAATTGTATTGTTCTGTTAGAAACAGAAATAAGAGCTCAGAGTGAGTTGCATGGGAAGGGCCAATAGTATACAGAGTATAGGGATTACTATCGGACAGCAGAAAATTAAGTGCAGACTAGGGGCGGACTGACCATTTGGAAACTCGGGCACTGCCTGAGGGCCCGAGGTCAGTAGAGGGCCCCATGAGATGCCCTTGGTACCTTTTTCATAGGCTTTTTTTGAGTTTGGGCAAGGACACAGGGGCCCCATGATTCCCTATTGCCCAGGGCCTCATGAGTTGTCAGTCTGCCCCTGGTGCAGACACTTGTCTTATGAAGCTGAGGATGGAGTAAATAATGAAGAAAAGTGATAGTGAAGGTATTGGACAGCGCTGTGAGGGTTACAGATCAGTGCAGGAGAGAAAAATAGTAATGAGAATAAACTTTTATTAATTTGGAAACACATATAAGTAAAGACAGAGGGGGAGGGTAGAGGTATGTTAAAAATAATGGACAAGGTTGACACCTTTTCGTGCATGGAAAACCCTACAGGGTGGGAGGGGCCTATTTAAAGCAGTCACTAGTCAATAGGTGTTTAATGTTGTGCTACACTATTTGATTATTATTATTTCTCTGTGACCATCACTTGTTTATTATTGCTCTGTGTCTTTGACCAATTGCCCTCCAAAGGAATGACCAGGCCTCTTTTTGCTACTCGGCGCTGCAATAATTCAACTGATAATTGCGCGGTCATGCAATACTGTACCCAAATGAAATTTACGTCCATTTTTCACACAAAGAG